AAGGTGTAGCTAACAAAAAACCCCAAATATTGGTAGACTTGTACAGAGAACATGCTCTATTGACTTATTTGGTTTGTAGGTTTTTGTGAAAAGTAAAGTGTGAGAATTGGAAAAATTAGGTCTTTTTGGCCAAAAATTAGGGATTTTCATTAAAAAGAGAACATTGTGGTTAGTTATTTTAATCAAGAAGGGAATATGGTGACTGATTTTTTGGCTAATAAAGGAGTTATGGATGAAAACTCGTGGAAGACTTTCAACTTAAAGGATATTCATTTCCTTGGAAGGACTCTTATTCTACATAATTGCTTCTTGGACAGATATTCAGGTTACAATCAATTGAAGATGCTTTGGAAAATCAGGAGAATACTACTTTCACCTGCCCCTTCGAACTTTTGCTTATAGACTTATGCTATTTGGCCTGTGTAATGCCCCATGAACATTTCAAAGCTGCATGGTGGGAATTTTTAAAGATATTTTGGAGAATATTATGGAGGTATTTATGGATGGTTTTTAGTTGTTTGGAGATCCATTTGAAGATTGTTTGGAGAATTTGGAAAATGTCTGAGTGAGGAAAATATCATTTTATGGTAACTAAAGGAATTGCTTTTGATCATATTGTTTCTGTAAAAGGGATAGAGGTCGACAAAGCAAAGGTTCAATTAATTTTCAATCTACCTACCTCAAAAAGGTAAAGGATGTGCATTCACTTCTTGATCATGAAAAATTCTACAGGAGATTCATAAAGGGTTTTAGTGTCATATCTCAGCCTTTATGTAATCATTTGACAGAAGAAGCTCAATTTGTGTGGTCACCTGACTTTAAGGTCATTTTTCAAAAAATGGAAAATATGTTGATTTTAGCTCTAATCATACAACCACCAAATTGGGTCCTCCCATTTGAGCTTATGTTTGACGCAAGTAACTATGCAATGGAAGCTGTATTAGGCCAAAACCAAGGTAAGAAACTGCGTGTTATTTACTATTCTAGCAAAACCCTAAATTAGGCACAAATGAATTACACTACTACAAAAAGGAATTGTTGTCTTTGCACTTGATAAATTTATATCTTATATAATTGGTTCACCTATTGTTGTCTATACTGATCATTTTGTTGTGAAGTATTTGTTGTCTATGTAGGAAACAAAACTGAGACTCATTAGGCGAATTTTCCTCCTATAAGAATTTTATCTAATCATTAAAGATAAGAAAGGAGTTGAGAATGTGGTAGAGATCATTTATCTTGACTTGTGTTTTAGGACACGCATGAGCATTTGCCCATTTAGGATATATTTCTCCATTAGTATTTATTTTATGTTACTGTATCTTGTCCTTGGTATGCTGACATTGTTAGTTTTTAGAGTCCACAAAATAAAAGAAATTTTTTAGTGGAAGTGAAATTTTTTTTTTGATGACCCTTATTTATTTAAATGTTGCGCTGACTTGGTTATGAGAAGATGCGTACCCAATGGCGAGCAGCATGATGTCATTTCTTTCTGCCATTTGGAGGAATGTGGGGGTCATTTCTTATCAAATATACAGTGTGGATTCTATAAAGATTGTTTCCAATTCTGCAAGAGCTATGACTGGTGTCAAAGGTTGGGTGGTGTGACTCGGCGGAATATAATGCCCCTTACTCCCATTCTGGTGATCGAGATCCTTGATTGTTGGGGTTTTGTTTTCATGGGTCATTTTTCCTCATCTTTTGGTTATTTATATATTTTACTGGCAGTTAATTACGTGTCTAGGTGGGTAGAGGTCATACCAGCTAGGACAAATGATCATAAAGTTGTTATTAAATTTTTTAAGAAAAATATTTTAGTGATGGTGCTTCACATTTTTGCAATAGACCATTTGGGATTTTGATGCACAAATACGGTATCACACATAGCGTTTACTGCTTATCACCCACACAGACAAACGACAAGGTTAAATTGGTCAATAGGAAAATTAAGCATATGTTGACTCTAACCGTAAGGATTGGTCAATTTGATTGATTGATGTTTTATGGGCCTACAGTACAATATACAAAATTCACTTAGGTATGTCTCCCTATAGGCTGATATACGACAAGGCCTGTCATTTGCCAGTGGAGATTGAAAATCGAGCATATTTGGTCATAAGTAAATGAATTATAGTTTGGGTCCATCTTGAGAGCATACGAAATTTCAATTGAATGAATTAGAGGAAATACATCAACATGCATATAACAGTACTAGAATTTATAAAGAAAAGGATAAATTTTTCATGATAAATCAATAGTAAGAAAAACCTTTGAGCTAGGTCAAAAAGTATTGTTATACAATTCCCGTCTTCTCATCTTCCTAGGTAAGTTGTGTTTGCGATAGACTGGCCCCTATACAGTCTATGTTGTCTATCCTAACGGGGCTATGGACATTCAAAATCCTAAGAATGGTCAAACTTTTAAAGTCAATTGACAGCGGCTTAAGTCATTTTTGGAAGATTTTTCATCTGAGGAGATTGTAGAATAATTGGTTGATCCTGTGTATCAGGATCTTGATGCTGAGTAGTTTCTTTTGATAATAATAGTGTACAGTGGTGGTCTTTATTCTTTTTCTATTTGATGTGCAGTTTATTTCATTGTACGTATTTCTTTTTTTTTAATAGTTTTTTGTTGTTTTGTAGCTTGTGGTTTTTCTTTATGGAAATAGTGTCAGGTGTTGTCTTACCCTTATTGTCTTCATTTTCTCATTGCATAATTATTTTGCATTGAGGACAATGCATAATTTAAGTTGGGGATAAGGGTGCACCATGACTATATGACACCACCAGGTTGTATGCTAAAATGAGAAATTTTGAAAAAAAAATTGAGAAAAAAAATGAAAAAGATGAGAAAATAAAACAAAACATCAAACTTGGAGTGTATTATTCCCTTTTAATTAGCATGAGATTGATAATTATTTGACTTGAATCTTGAGTTATTTGTGTGCTACCACATTGTAAGAATCTATTCTATGTTTAAATATCATATATGTGTTTTCATTCGAAACTTACCCTATTTGCACCATGAGAATACTAATTTTTGTAATTTATTGTATAATATTTTCATCTTCAAATGCTTGACATACATAGTGGAGATGAATGCATTACCCTTGTGTTCTTTTGTGTCATTCTTTACTGGAGGGTTGAAATACACTTAATTAAAAGATTGTTCTTTCAAATTCAATTTCTTTCAATACTCTCATTATTTTTGTTTTGATTAGTGTGAATAGGGTAATTAGTTGATTATATCTCAATGCAAGGGGTACCTTGCCGTGTATTTTCAAGAAATGATCTTAAGTCATTTGTGAATTAATTTGAATCTTAGTCTGTTCTTTCTTAATATCATCCCTAGAAGCCCTAATTGAGCTTGAATATAAATTTGATTTCTTTAGCCACATGTTTAACCAAGTCAAGTATAATTTACGTTTATCTTACCTTGGTTGTCCCGGGATTAATAGTGTCATATTGTTAAAAAAATATTGTGGTTGAAAGAAAAGGAAACAAAATAAAAGGAAAGAAGAATGGAACAAAAAGGGATGATGAATATTTGAGCATATTTTTGATATTTATGGAAAGCAAAGCAAAGAAAACAAAAAGAAATAAAGGAGGTGAAAAAAAGAAGAAAAGAAAGAGAAAAGAAAAAGCGAAAGAACTAGAAATGAAAAAAACCAATTAATTTCAAAAGAGGAGATATGGTTAGTAAACACATATTCTCGGGATAACTTCTTTTTGAATTCCTATATCCCTTCATTTCTTTAGTTCAATTTTCACCCGAGGCCACGTTACAACCAGTTAAAGTCCTATTTGATCTTATAAATTATGGCAAGTGTATGTTCAAAACTAGAGATAGGTCAACTGCACTAATTTCATTTTCCCTAGCATTCCGTTCATGAGATTATGTCAAGGTTGTTTCAATTCCATGATTGTCTTTCATTGTTGAATGATATTTGAGTTATACTTTGCTTTGAATTACAAGTTTTCGTCTCACATATAGAGAATGAATGGAACATCAGATTAATCAGAGTGTTGTATGTTTTGAGAGAAACATTTGTGGTGAGATTTCCATCAAAGCTAATTTGGATAGCTAATATAGATGTGGGTTTTATTTGATAAATTTCTTAAATTACATTATCATTTCACACATACACGAGTCTCTTAGGGAAATGTGTATCTGAATACTTTTACATAGCATTTAAATCTATGATGTAATAGTATAGAAATACCTTAAAGTGGGTGGAAGAATGGTTAATATACCTCATTGCTAGTTAGTATATTATAATATAGTCTAAATTGGGATGTAGATGAAAGTTTGTAGGTATCTTCTCTAAAAACCTTCACAAGACACAACTCGTCCACTATGGGTGACCTAGGGGTTTAAAGGCTTGTTGCACTTGCTAAATGTAATTGTGTACCCAAAGAAAGTGGCTTTAGATATCATTTAGTGTTTTTAATTGGAATGCATTTTGAATTGGAATGTTGTGCAATTTTTATACATGTTTTGTGTGTTTCAACTTCTATGTTGTGTGTAATTAGGTAAATAAGAGTCTTAGGCATGTAAATAGGTTTGGCAAAGTATTAGGATTGTTCAAATCAATAAGAAAATGAAAAAATGAGAGAACCAACCTGTTGAACTTGAACCGGTTCATCAGAGGAAAAAAGTGGTTCAACCGGTTGAAGCACTGTTGATCAACCAGTTGAAGTGAGGTCAAGTTTCGATCTTTTCAAAGGGAGACAGACGGTTTTTTGGCTCAATCTTTCCATTTTATCTAAACCCACTCTGTCAAACTCTCCTCATATTTTTGAAAGCTATAACCCACCATCCCAAGAGCCTTAGTTCTTCCATCTATCTTTTCCCTCTCATCTCCACCAAAAATTTCTAAGCTTCCAAACCCTAAGGTTCCATCAAATGGCTTCAAGAAAATCTTTGAGATATTCATCTAGGGGTTTGTCTGAGGAGCTATTTTCATGGTTTTGGTTATGTTATATTTATTATGATGATAGGTATGGTTTTGGTGGGCATGGCCAAAACCCTCAGAGTTTCATCTTCAACTTCAAAGCCGAGAGCGTCAAGAAAGGAAAAGGGAAAGGGAAAAGCTACTGCAGAGGGTTATAGTGATGGGGATGATGAGTCTCATGAATTTGAGGTGAAAGAAACTAAGAGTGGAGTACGAGACGATCATGGATGGGAAGTCTGCCACTTGCGAGCAGATGGCTGATCGTAAGAGTATAGGTGAGTCTGTGGCTGTGAAACAGATAGTGGATTTAGGTTTGAAATTTTTCTTTGAGTCAGTGCCTAGTTATATTTTAGAGTTATGTCGAAAGTTATATATGAGGTTGAAGGAGGTAGACACAGATCTTATGATATTATGGACCACAATACATGGTAAGCTGATAAAGGTAACCCCAAATTCGATAGCCAATTACTTGGAATACAGAGTTTTAAGGCTAAGTGTTTGCCAGAATATGTAAGATTGATGGATAAGGAGCCAAATCAATTTGATGGGCAGTTTAGTGTAAAGAGTTTGACTAGAGAGTATAAGACCTTGAGTAAAATCTTAGCACTATAATGTATTTTTGAAGGGGTATGATAAGAGGTTGTCTATCTCAAAGATTATTTTGCTATATGAGGTGATGCATGGGAAAAGGATGGATATGGTGTTGTTTATGTGGGGGGTAATCAAGGATTATATTTTGGAGAGCAAACCTAGGGAAAATATGTCATTTGCTAATATGATTACTCATTTTTGTGTGGTTGCGGGGGTAACGGGATATCTGAGAGACTATTTGACTTCTCTTGAGAGGGCCCATTAGTAGTTGGTTAGAGAGTAAGAGTGACATCATGTCTATAATTACTAGAGATAGGCCTAGTATTTCTCCTTCTGCACATATCGGCCCTACCACTACACCTGTTGATACTAGCTCCATTCCTATTTCATCAATTTCGAGAAATACTATGCTTTAGAGGATAGGGAGCCTAGAGCATAGGATAAATAGCTTGGAGTCTGACATTCAGGAGATGAAAGGAACTCAAGTGCAGATGGCTAGGGATTTGGAGTTGTCTTTGATGATGCAGATGAGATTATTTACAACACTATTGCCAAGAGAGTCATTGTTAGTCCTACCATCATTGACTTTTGCAGGTGTTACTTCTTCAATGCCTGTTCCACCTACTTCGGCGTCTGAGCCACCATTTGTATCTATGACTAAGCCTCGTGATCCAATACATGAGATGGAGAGTAGAGAGGAACATGTCGAGTCTGAGTTTGATAAGGATGACGATGGATACTCTGAGTAGATGATGTTACGATTTGCTAGTTTCTTTGTTTTAGGATTTGTCTAAATTGGTTATGCAATGACTTAGGATAGTAAAATTTTGTTTGTGTCCTAGAGTTGTTATATTTTGATAACTTTGGTATATATATATATATATATATATTCTGTCTCTGAAGACTTGAGTTTTAGGATAGAGGAGGCTGCCTTATATAGAGGTAAGGGGCTTCCGGACTTCAAACTGAGTCTTCAATTTGCTTGAAAGTCTCTTTCATTACTTTCGGCTGGAAAGTAAAGTAAGATACTTTTACTTGGGTAAAAGGACAGGCAGAGTGGACTAGGGGTCCTGACTGTCTGAAGAATCTCTGCTTTCGGTGGAAAGTAGTCAATCTGAAGGGACTAGAGGGCCCTACTTGTCAGAGGCATCTTACTTTCGGTGGAAAAGCAGATCTGTGGGTCCTGTCTTTGTCTGTGAGAATCCTGCTTTTAGAGAAAGGGGATCCTATGCAGACATGTGAAATTATCTTTACACAGAGTGGTCAGCTTTTCTTTCTTTACTGAAGAAAGTAGTGATTGAAGCCACTTTATGTAAATAATAATTCACGGATGTGCAAGGTTAGGTGTGAGGTCATCAACATCAAAGTCTTCTATTCCTTCAAAAGGATCCTGAGCATATCCTGCTGGGAGTTCTGAGGAGGAACTTTGAGAAGATGATTCACTATCTGAGTCAAGTTGTTCAAGGAGCTTCTGGAGGAGCTTTGCCTTGGACTTCCTCTTGCTGGATTTCTTCTGAGAACCTTTAGATGAAGATTCTTCTATTTGGACTTGTCTTGTAGGAAGGTTAGCCTGGCTTGAATGAGCGGGCAGTTCCTTCATTGGAGTTGCTGGTTGTAAGGGACCTGGAACTACTACTGGAGTTGGAACCCTTACAGGAAAGTCACGTTTCACCATTGCGATAGTGTCGCTATGCTGAAACCTGGGCCACCATTTGGCATAGAATTGTCGGGTCAAGTTGAATCCAACAATTTCCCAATGCCATTTGAGTATCCATGGGACTTTGTACCTGCAAAGAAATATTAGTAATAAAGGTAATGGGGACTCCTGTTTACTAGGACGGTAAAGGGAGTAAAAGATATTGATCTGATCTTTAAGATCAGCTGGAAAGATTTCATCAATGGGGCCGTGTAGATGCCACCACTGTGTAAACCATGCAGGAATATGGCTTCTGAAATCTTTATGGAAATTAAGAAACCAGGAATGGGACAAATCCTCATTCTGGTAGAGTATTATTTTGGACCATGACTCAATGTAGTCATAGTAATTAAATTGTCTACTGTGGTAGGGAAGTTCTCGGAGCAAAGAAGGGTGAGAACCCCATTCCTCAATAGAAATAATTTTGGTAATATACAAGCTGTGATAGATAACCTTATTTGGGTTTATCTTATCATAAATGGGCTTGGTGAATATGGATTTGGTATAGTAGAGAATATCTTGGTAAAAACTATGGGGTTTTTCCAAGTCTACTGGAATATAGGTCCAACCATTTGGGAGGTAGGCCTGTACAAGATCCATTGGATCCTTGTATTTGGAATGGGCTAGTTCAATGGCTAGGACATTCTCAGAATAGGCTTTAACATAGTCAACCTTTGGGCCTAATTGGGCTACAAATGGTTGTGGGGCGTGATAGGGGTTTGTCATGGCACTAGTGGTCCTGACAGGTTGCTGTTGGGCCATTTGGGTGAAGGTTTTTGGGTTAACAGTGGTTGATATAGCTACTGGTCGGGTAACCAGGGCTGATTGGGTACTAGTTGAGTCCATTCTGGCTATTTCATCGGCCATTATCTGACTCAATTTAAGTTGGGCTTGGGCTACTGGCCTTGTGGGCTGAGTAATTGGTAATAGAAATCTGTTTGACAAAACTAATGGTAAGTCAGGTTCAGATTTTGGTATTATTTTATCCTTTCCCTTCCCCCTGGAATTTTTGGAGGAGGTTCCGGATGTACTAGGTTTCCTGTCCGCCATGAGGTTCCTGCAAAAATTCTCTGGTTAGGAAATCAGGAATATAGTTATGTTTGCCTTTGATATATTCTATATCAAAATCGAAAATACTTAAAATAGATTGCCAACGAGCAAAAATCTGCTTAGCAGCTATATTTTTGACATCTTTGGTTAATACATCCTTGGCTGATTTACAGTCAACCCGCACAAGGAATTTTCGATTTAATATATCATCCTGGAATTTAGAGATACACAGGACAATAGATAAAATCTCTTTTTTAATAGTGGAATAATTCTTTTGGGTCTTATTCCAAATACCAGAATGGAACCGAACAATCTGTTCAGGAGAATTAGGAGATTCTCGTTGAAGGAGGATTCCACCATAACCAATATCGGAGGCATCAGTCTGGATGATTTTGAAAGAATCAACGGATGGAATACCAAGACAGGGAAGAGTTTTGATGAACTTCTTAACCTGTTTAACAATGGAAGTATGAACAGTGGTCCAAGGAGGAGGATTTCCTTTGAGCCTGTCATACAGAGGTTTGATGGTTTGCCTAAGATCCTGATAAAAGTCAGAAACATAATTTAGGGAACCTAAAAACCTTTGTAACTGGGTTTTATCCAGAATTTCATCTGGGAATTTATCTGCAAATTGGATGGCTCTACTTATAGGAGTGATAGTAGAATCCTGGATATTGTATCCTAAAAACCTTACTGAGGTTTGGAATAACTTAATCTTAGATGCAGATAAGACTAAACCATTTTGTTTAACAATTGTATAAAAAGCATAAAGGTGCTTCCAGTGTTCTTCTATTGTTCTGGAGAAGATGAGTATATCATCTATATAGACAATAGAAAAATGACTGATACAATTGAAGACTTCATTCATTATGTTCTGGAATTCACTTGGGGCGTTTTTCAACCCAAAGGGCATGACATTCCATTCATAATGTCCGAAGGGAGTAGTAAAAGCGGTTTTATACCTGTCCATAGGGTGGATCTGTATTTGCCAAAAACCACTTTTGAGATCAAATTTGGAAAAGATAGTGGACTTATTGAGTCTCTTTATCAAATCCTGTTTATTAGGTATAGGGTACCTAATCCATTCTAAAACCTTGTTTAAAGGTTTGTAATTGATGACTAACCTTGGGACTCCTCTTTCTAATTCTGTTTTTGATGACATAGAAAGCAGGACAAGACCAAGGTGATCTGATATTCCTAATGATACCATTTTTTAATAACTCTGAGATTTCTTTTTTACAGATCTCAGTAGTTTCATGGTTCATTTGGATTGGTCTGGATTTAGTAGGGATATTGTCCTCAGTAAATCCTTTAATATATGGAAGTCTGACCATGTGTTTCTTCCTATGCCAGAATGCTGTAGGAAGGGAGGAACAAACTTCTGACTCTAAGTTTTCCCTAAACCTATCGATCTTCTGTTGTAAGATTGGATTGGTTAGGTTTTCTTTAGTTCTGAGGTGGTTAATCTCTTGTTTAAGAAATTCCACTTGCTTAATTTTCCTGTTAATAACATTAAGGGACTGTGAGACAGAAATGTCTTTTAGCTGCCTTAAATGTCTTTTCTCAGGTTTGGTAATAAATGGAAATACAATTTTCCTTCCAAAATGCTTGGTTGATATTCCATCTGTATCTGTACTAAAAGGGTACAAAAGATATATAAATGGAAGACCAAGAATAACAGCATCAGTCATGTTATTAACAAGAAGGAATGATGTTTCAAAACATACATCTTGCTGACAGACATGAACTTTAGGAAGTTTGTATTTAACATTCATTTTGCTGCCATTGGCAGAACTAATTCTTTCCAATGTTTTTTCATAAAACATGGTTGGAACTAATCCTTCTTGGATGCAGTTAACATCTGCTCCAGTATCCAATAGGGCAATAACAGTAATATGAAAATTATTGTTAATGATTAATTTTACTTCAACATGCCATTTTTGGACAGTTAAAGAATTAATCAAACTAATTCTTTTGTCATCGGAGGAGGCTCCTTCCTGGAATGAAGGCAGGTTCGTTACACCAGAAGTTTCCGTCTGAAAGGAGGAGGTTACTGGTATCCCCTGTGTGTAGCCTTGATGATCAAAAGGATTAATAAAATCTGCAGTCTGATCTTCTGGATCAGAATCCTGGGATTTTTCAGAATATTTTTCTGTTTGTAAAAGAGTTAAAGCTTCAGCAAATTTCTTGTCTTGAGCTTTTAAATCTTTTATCTCGATTTTAAGCTTATTAACTTCACTTTGGAGATCTTGTAAGGTGATTTCTTTTTTCTTTTCCTTACTAAATCTTTCCATAGTTTTGTTAAGGCTTATTAATTGTTTTTCAATAACAGGTTGCTTATTATCCTTTTTAGTGAAAAGGTTTCTAAGCTGTTTTACATACTTATCTTTGAGATCTGGATCTTCTATTTTGGAGATCAAGTCTATAAGTATGTGTTCTTCATTTTGCTTTGTGATTACCCTAACTTGTTTCTGACAAGAGCATCCTATTTTAATTTTAGGTGCGTCAGGGTGATCAGAAGCTGAATAATAATCTGAAGAGTCTGGGGTGCCTACTGGGCTATCTGATTCTTCAGAACTTTCAAGATTGTTTATCCTAAAGATTTCAAGGATTCTGTCCTCATCATCTTGGGATAAATTTAATCTTTTTACTTGTTTTTTAACTGGGCATTCAGGACTAATATGGCCTGATTTTCCACAATTAAAACATGTAATATCTTGGACTTTTCCTTTACCTTGTTGTCTGTCTTTTTGGATCTAAATTTTTTTCTAGGCTTTCTGGAAGATCTGGTTTAGATCTCTTGGCAGTTTTGTGGTGAGGAAAATGTCTTTGATAAGATTTGTTTTTAAAATAAGGCTTGTGTGATTTAGATTTTCTGTGTTTCTTATGGGAAGGAGCTAATGGCTGTAATCCATATTGTTCACAAAAATTTCCTAATTCATATTTAGCCTTATGTTTTTCATTTGTTAATTGCTTATTGATTCTCAGATCTACACACCATTT